GCCTCTGGTGTTTAAAACCCAGCGAGATGCACCTGGTGCACAGGTAACAGCCCAGCTTATAGACTGAGACAGACTAGGAAGAGGCCGTCCACTTCTCAAAGAATTGGCCAGGGAAAACCTTATGATTACACTGAGGAAGGGGAACAAATCCAAGACACCCCGCCCTCCCGAGCTAGGCGCATGCCCGTCAGGGAGAGCGCAGCGGCTTCCTCCTTCTCCCCAAGCAAGTGGGCTTTGGGGTGCTCTGAGGGCGCCGCTTGCGGCCCGAGCGCTGCGGCCTCCCCTCAGCTGGGTTAACGCGACGCCTCGCTAGCCAGAAGGAGCCAACACTAACTTCCCCCCGGGCGCCCAAACTGTCAAACCGCGGCCAGAGTCCGACTCGCCTCCTCAGCCGCTCGCGTTACCGCGAGACCTCGCTCAAACCCCACGCCTCGCCCCCAAGGTTCCTGGGAAAGGTAGTACAGGAAAGTGAAGGAAGCCGGAGTCTGGCTGAGGCCGGGAGTGGATTGTCTGAGAGCAGAAGGGGCGGGGGGCAGCGATTGACGCCTCACGCGGGTCAATGACGGACGCTCTGGACGCGCCAGCCAATGGCGCGGGGACGGGCGCTGAGACGAGGGTAATTCGAGCTCCGCGCCAGGCGGCGTAGTTTAGTCAGAGCGAGAACGTTTCACGAGTGAGTGTGGGACGGTGTTGTGCTCCCCGGGCACCGACTGTACCTCACGGCGCTCTGTCCTCAGGTTGCTAGCTCCGACGCTGACGGTGTAGACCCCGGACATCTCTGGGATTACTCCGGGCTCGGCGGCGACACTGGTGCCCCAGCTCTTCGCTTGCCCACCCGCGTCGGTCTCGGACCCCGTTGACAACGCGCTGCACTTCATCCCAGTCCCGGTCGAGCACAGTTGAGTTTATGCCTTTACTTGACGAAAACGGTCAATCCGGAGATGGCGGCCGCAGAAAATGATCACGGCTGCCGGCTGACTGGCCCCGGGAGTGTGGCGCAGTTGTAGGGGCGGCTGGGGCGAAAGGTCACTTGGGGCCGGTGCTGCCATTGTGAATCATCGACGGGGGGCACACCTGTGCAGCCATACCCATTCCGAGCCCTGGCCGGCTCCGCTGGCTGTTCCTCTTCCCTGGCCGCCCGGTCACCGCACCGTTTAGCACGGCACACTTGGCCCAGGCCCACCTGGTTCCACCTGCAGAGGACGAACTTCAAAAGGTGTCGGCGGTGACTGGGGCAACATGGGCACAGCCACGACAGCACCGGGGGACGCAGCGACTGCGGACCGTGCTAGCCAAGGGACAAGAGTGAAGGTTAGCTGTGTGTGACTGAGGCAATGAGGCAAGACACACGCAGTTTGTAAAACAAACAGAGAGTGGAAAATTACTGATACTCCCCCTCCCTCCTTCCCCTTCCCGTGCTTTTTCCGTCATAAAACCCCACGTGGTTTTTGTTAGGGGCTCAGTCCCTAACAAAACTGTGTGAATCCACTAACCCAAGTGTCGAGACAATAAAGTCCTTCCTTTACCCTATCCTGCTCAGCGTTAACGTTTCCCTTGGCAGCTCTGGCAACATGACTACAAGTCTCCCCAGATGGAGGAAAAGGAAAAGAGGTTGAGTGGTTCACGTTGTGGGAGTCTTACTTTGAGGTAAGCAGTTGTTGCTGAAATAAAGATGTCACTTTTTATCTCTCTGGATTTTTTTCCTTTCAAAGTGATAGTTATTAAAAGAACCATAACCCACTGCAGGAGAAAGGGGATAACAGCCTTGAACCTGGACAGAAGAGCAGTCAGCCCCAGGGTTACAGGTGAGGAGAGACAACTCAGGGATGCCCAGAGTAGCAGGCCAGAAGAGCAGGAGAAAGGGGATAAAACCCAGGAAGCCAAATAGAAGATCAATCAGAGGAAGGGATTAGGTGAGGAGGGGAAACTCAGGCCCGCCCAGAGTA